ATAAATTGAATGGATACTTGAACTAAATTGAGCTGAATATTAATGACACAGTTGTCTCCTGAAGAGCTGCTTTTAGAGCTGAAATTAAATTGGTTTCATAATTGATGAATTCTAGAAACATTGACATTTATTGAAATTAATTCATTTAAAAAATCCTGAGGATTTTTAGCAGAACCATCTTTGATAAATAATAAAGAGCGCTAATATTTTCCTGTGGACTCTTGTCGTGTTTGTATTATAGTGGTTGGATGCAGGGCTGTTCTGGGATCAGCGCTCATCGGCAGGTTCTCCCGTGTTTACCTGCGCACTGATCTCAGAGCACCTTGGAAGCATCTTGAGCGGATCTTGTCATCTCGGGGCGTCCCGCGTGAGATCTGAGCCGTCTGTGTGCCGCAGGACATTCGCAGCATCTGCCGGTGCTCAGTACAATCACAGCAGAGACCCGGAGCGCGTGTGTTGTGTTTTAATCAGGCCATCGCTCGGTTAAAATCACACCAGCTGTTCTCATTCTGCTGCTGTTTCTCTCGTCTGACTCACCTGCTGCATCGACTCGCAAACAGCAGACGCACTGAAATACTTTCTCAAATAAAGGTTCTTAATTGGCATCTGCTTCCATGAAGAATAGTTCACTTAAAAATTAAAATGTGCTGAAATGTGTTCACGGCACCCATTCACTGCAGAGCATCCATTTCTGAGACACTGATGCAATGCTACATTTCTACAAATCTGATGAAGAAACAAACTCATCCTAATCTCGGATGGCCTGAGGGTGAGCGCATTTTCAGATAATTTTCTTGTGAACATTTTTTTGTGAATTACTGTATTCCTTTAAACATCCATGGAAACTTTCCACTGCACAAAAGGTTCTTAGCTGAAAAAGTGTCTTTTGTGAGTGTTTTTTAAATGACTCTTTTAAGAACTGTTCACTGAAAGGTTCTTTGGGGAACCAAAAATGGTGGTTCTGTGCATGGCATTGCTGTGAAAACACCTTTGTGGACCCTTTAATTTTAAGCGTGTTATATGGCTTTTATTCATGATGTCTGAAGTATCCTTGTGTTTGAATCAGCTGTTGTTTTGGTGATGTTTAGTGGCTTCACACAGGTGTAGAGAATCACATTAAACAGCAACCTCATCCACTAACAAACACAATACTGTCCGTCTTCGTCTTCAGCACTACTTCTAGTGCTTTAGCAGCTGCTAAGCAAACCTGCTTTTGTTTTGATTATAAAGTGCATCTTTATTTACAAAAAATCACACATTTCTAAGTGTCCCCAAGATCGTTTGTGTAGTGTGTGAGCATGTGGTGAAGTCTGAGGTCCATTTGCTGGACTCTGTCTGAACTTCACATTCTCGTGCAGTCTGTCGCCAGTGAAAACAGCCGTTTGCTGGAACAACAGTCTCTGAATTCCTGAACACTGAGACTGTTTTCATGCAGCACTGGACGCTGATGTTAAATATCCTGAAAAACTTTACATCTCAATGATTCATCCTGCTGACAAAATCATGTGACAAATAACACAAAACTTTTCCTTTGAGGCGCCCTCAAAAGGCGCCTCTTTGGAGTAAAGTTATAATTACTATTATTGTTTTTTTTTACATGTACTAAAGAACATGCTTTAATACTTTGGGTTTATAATAGTTGGGTTTATTGTAATCAATAATTAGGCCTAATACTATTATTAGTTTTTAGTAATATTTTCAATTACATTTTATTTCTGATTTTACTTTCTACTGGAAAACATTTCTAATTTTCGTTTGCTTTATGATGAAGTACTAAAACTATGGAATAAAAAATTTTAAAAAAGGTTATTGCGACTTTTTATCTCACATTTCTGACTTTTTTTCTCAGAATTGCGTGATATAAACTCACAATTGCGAGTTATAAAGTCAGAATTGTGAGATAAAAACAATTAGTCGCAAAGTCGCAATTCTGACTTTTTTTTAACTCCCAATTGCGAGTTAATGTCCAATTTTGAGGGGGGGCGAGACTGATGTGTGCTCAGAATTGCAAGTTTATATCTCACAATTCGGACTTTATAACTCGCAATTGTGAGTTTATATCTCGCCGTTCTGACTCTATTTCTCAGAATTGCGAGTTTATATCATATAGTCGCAATTACTTAATTACGCAATTTTTTATTTTTTCTTCAGTGGCGGAAACGTGCTTCCGTATAAAACAACAAAAAATAAATAAACTCTATAAATAAAAATATACAGATGCTTAAAAAAAAAGACAAAAACGCAACAAAATAACAAAAAATCTAAATGAAAACAGAAAATCTATCTCAAAGTAATCTCAAAGACAGTAGAATAACAGTGTGCAGCCCACGAACGCAGTTATTTTTAAAACCGCAGCTTTTTCTACGCGGTTAGGCCGTTCGTCCACACGCAAACACAGCACCGGGTCACTGAAACCGAACATTTTTGAAAACACCTGCCAGGGTGAAGATTTTCAAAAACTCTGGTTGCAGTGTTATCGTGTAGACGGCGAAACCGGAGTTATCTCCGCCTACTGGAGACTTTTTCAGGCTCCTGATTGGCCAACATGGCTTTACGGTTGAGATTATATCGCCACCTGTTGGTTTGGCATGCCCTTGACAGTGCTTCATAGCATGCGTTTGCGTTTTCATGTGAACAAAGATTTTTTTTAAACGGAAGAGGGAAAAACTCCCGACATGGCCCGAGTCTCTGACCTCAGCAGACGTGATGGATGAGTTTGTGTCTGTCGTCTGTGGGATGTGAAGTGCTAATCACGTCAGATTGGTGAGCTTGCGCTCATACAGTGAGATCTGTGGACGCGAGCGCTCAGATGACCGGGAGCTCAGATAGCTCTGTGTCTCTGTATATCTGCTCTGACGTTTCATTAGATTCCTTCGCTGTCTGAGGGCACCCCGGGCCTCTGGTGTCCGTGTTTGGACTCAAAGTCAAGCGTTTTCGGGAGGTTTTGCTGGGATTTTATGAGCCGTAACTGTAGCGGCTAACAGAGATGTGAAATTACTCCAGCGCTTGTAGGATGTTCACCTCAAAGCAGCCACCAAACAGTTTCCACCACACCAGTCCTTTAATCAAAACAAAGTGCTAATGATACGGACTGTGTTTTACTGTGGAATTGATTGAAGAAACATTCAAATAAAGGACTTCATTGGCTCCTTGCAGCATTTTTGATTCACTTTATGCCTCTCAACAAACTTTTTTTTTTTTTTTCAATTTTATCGGGTTGCTGAGTTGCAGTATGGTTCTTTATTAGATTACATTTCTAAAAAAGTTACATTCTTTCTTCCCTCTAGGTTCCTTAAAAGAGTAGTTCACCCAAAAATGAAACATTATTTACTCACCTCGTGTCGTTCCAAACCCGTAAGATCTTCGGAACACAAATAAAGATATTTTTGATGAAATCCGAGAGCTTTCTGACCCTGCATAGACAGCAATGCAACTGAAACGTTCACGACATCGTTAAAATAGTCCATGTGACATCAGTGGTTCAGCCGTAATGTGGTGAAGCTACGAGAATACTGTTTGTGCGCAAAGAAAACTAAAATAATGACTTTATTCAACAATTCTTCTCTTCCGTGTTGCATTCACGAGAGTACCACCATGCATGTGTGTTGTATGTCACATGGACTATTTTAATGATGTCTTTACTGCCTTTCTGGGCCTTGAACAGTGCTCAGAATTGCAAGTTTATATCTCACAATTCGGACTTTATAACTCGCAATTGTGAGTTTATATCTCGCCGTTCTGACTCTATTTCTCAGAATTGCGAGTTTATATCATATAGTCGCAATTACTTAATTACGCAATTTTTTATTTTTTCTTCAGTGGCGGAAACGTGCTTCCGTATAAAACAACAAAAAATAAATAAACTCTATAAATAAAAATATACAGATGCTTAAAAAAAAAGACAAAAACGCAACAAAATAACAAAAAATCTAAATGAAAACAGAAAATCTATCTCAAAGTAATCTCAAAGACAGTAGAATAACAGTGTGCAGCCCACGAACGCAGTTATTTTTAAAACCGCAGCTTTTTCTACGCGGTTAGGCCGTTCGTCCACACGCAAACACAGCACCGGGTCACTGAAACCGAACATTTTTGAAAACACCTGCCAGGGTGAAGATTTTCAAAAACTCTGGTTGCAGTGTTATCGTGTAGACGGCGAAACCGGAGTTATCTCCGCCTACTGGAGACTTTTTCAGGCTCCTGATTGGCCAACATGGCTTTACGGTTGAGATTATATCGCCACCTGTTGGTTTGGCATGCCCTTGACAGTGCTTCATAGCATGCGTTTGCGTTTTCATGTGAACAAAGATTTTTTTTAAACGGAAGAGGGAAAAACTCCCGACATGGCCCGAGTCTCTGACCTCAGCAGACGTGATGGATGAGTTTGTGTCTGTCGTCTGTGGGATGTGAAGTGCTAATCACGTCAGATTGGTGAGCTTGCGCTCATACAGTGAGATCTGTGGACGCGAGCGCTCAGATGACGGGGAGCTCAGATAGCTCTGTGTCTCTGTATATCTGCTCTGACATTTCATTAGATTCCTTCGCTGTCTGAGGGCACCCCGGGCCTCTGGTGTCCGTGTTTGGACTCAAAGTCAAGTGTTTTCGGGAGGTTTTGCTGGGATTTTATGAGCCGTAACTGTAGCGGCTAACAGAGATGTGAAATTACTCCAGCGCTTGTAGGATGTTCACCTCAAAGCAGCCACCAAACAGTTTCCACCACACCAGTCCTTTAATCAAAACAGAGTGCTAATGATACAACCTGCCAGGGTGAAGATTTTCAAAAACTCTGGTTGCAGTGTTATCGTGTAGACGGCGAAACCGGAGTTATCTCCGCCTACTGGAGACTTTTTCAGGCTCCTGATTGGCCAACATGGCTTTACGGTTGAGATTATATCGCCACCTGTTGGTTTGGCATGCCCTTGACAGTGCTTCATAGCATGCGTTTGCGTTTTCATGTGAACAAAGATTTTTTTTAAACGGAAGAGGGAAAAACTCCCGACATGGCCCGAGTCTCTGACCTCAGCAGACGTGATGGATGAGTTTGTGTCTGTCGTCTGTGGGATGTGAAGTGCTAATCACGTCAGATTGGTGAGCTTGCGCTCATACAGTGAGATCTGTGGACGCGAGCGCTCAGATGACGGGGAGCTCAGATAGCTCTGTGTCTCTGTATATCTGCTCTGACATTTCATTAGATTCCTTCGCTGTCTGAGGGCACCCCGGGCCTCTGGTGTCCGTGTTTGGACTCAAAGTCAAGTGTTTTCGGGAGGTTTTGCTGGGATTTTATGAGCCGTAACTGTAGCGGCTAACAGAGATGTGAAATTACTCCAGCGCTTGTAGGATGTTCACCTCAAAGCAGCCACCAAACAGTTTCCACCACACCAGTCCTTTAATCAAAACAAAGTGCTAATGATACGGACTGTGTTTTACTGTGGAATTGATTGAAGAAACATTCAAATAAAGGACTTCATTGGCTCCTTGCAGCATTTTTGATTCACTTTATGCCTCTCAACAAACTTTTTTTTTTTTTTTCAATTTATCGGGTTGCTGAGTTGCAGTATGGTTCTTTATTAGATTACATTTCTAAAAAAGTTACATTCTTTCTTCCCTCTAGGTTCCTTAAAAGAGTAGTTCACCCAAAAATGAAACATTATTTACTCACCTCGTGTCGTTCCAAACCCGTAAGATCTTCGGAACACAAATAAAGATATTTTTGATGAAATCCGAGAGCTTTCTGACCCTGCATAGACAGCAATGCAACTGAAACGTTCACGACATCGTTAAAATAGTCCATGTGACATCAGTGGTTCAGCCGTAATGTGGTGAAGCTACGAGAATACTGTTTGTGCGCAAAGAAAACTAAAATAATGACTTTATTCAACAATTCTTCTCTTCCGTGTTGCATTCACGAGAGTACCACCATGCATGTGTGTTGTATGTCACATGGACTATTTTAATGATGTCTTTACTGCCTTTCTGGGCCTTGAACATGATAATTACGTAAATATATATATATATATATATTTGAGACTTAAGTGTCCAAATACTACATGTATTGTGAGAAGTCTTTTGCTCATCAAGGCTGCATTTATTTGATTAAAAATACAGTAAAAACAGTAATATTGTGAAATATTATTTCAATTTAAAATAGTTGTTTTCTATGTAAATATATGATAAACTCTCATTTATTCCTGTGATGCACAGCTGTATTTTCAGTATCATTACTCCAGTCTTCAGTGTTGCATGATCTTCAGAAATCATAATAATATGCTGATTTGCTGCTCGAGAAACATTTCTGAGAATTATCAATGTTGAAAACACTTGTGCTGCAGAATATTTGGAAATGATTCTCTGAAATAGAAATCTAACCATTATGAAGGTTTTTACAGTCACTTTTGATCAATTGAATGCATCCTGAATGAAAGTGTTAATCCTGCTGCACACAAACATTTGAAATATAGGCTATTCATGCGCGTGTGTGGTTTATCTTTAAAGACACACTGACACTAATTGAGAAAACTCTTAAGTGTTTTCCTTTGTGACGATCTCGAGGAGAATGTTCACTGTGTTTATGAGGCTTCACGGGTCAGTTTAGAGCAGGAGGATCAGGTTTGTGAAGGTGAGAGTCTGAGGACACACATCTGCAGCTGATCGGTCCAAACAGATGTGGAATGTCTGTGATGTTGGTGACGTCCTGAGCGGATCGAACACGTGACCGGCTCCCGTCGAATTCAACTTGTTTTTGGATCAAGTCTGTCGTTCCAGCGAGTTTCTCTTCCCACGTTAAAGGGACAGTTCACCCAAAAATGAAAATTCTGTCATTAATTACACACCCTCGTGTCGTTCCAAACCCGTAAGACCTCCGTTCATCTTCGGAACACAAACTAAGATATTTGTGATGAATTCTCTCATAGACAGCAAGGGTCCTTACGCGATCAACGTCCAGAAACGTAACAAGGACATCGGTCAAATAATCCATGTGACATCAGGGGTTCAACCGTAATTTTACGAAGCTACGAGAATACTTTTTGTGCGCAAAAGAAAAAAAACTACTTTTTTCAACAATTTGTCTCCTCCCTAGCGCCATTTTAGAGAGTATCCACTGAACGTAAATTGCGTATGCTGTTCTGTGTCAGCTGCGTCACGCGGATACGCTGTTTATGCATTGAGCTGAACGAAAACAACGTACACTATTTCGATTAATGAAGTCTAGCCAGTCTGTAAAACTTAAAATGTTGTTATTGTATTTTTCGTAGTAAAGTTCTGGCAACCACAGCTGCTGTTTTTTCATTAAACTGAGCCACTCCGACGTAAACAACCCTCTCAAACGCCTGCTTGAGTCCGAACATTAACATTTGCTTTAGTCTGAGAAAGTTATTTTGAGGCGAATGCACTGCAGGAGTGAATCACTGTAGAGAATATAAACCAGCAACACTTGTTGACCAAAGAACTTTCAGCTGGATTTTCTGTGTGTGATCACACATTACCCATGATCCTCTCTGTCTCTCAGCTCTGTTCCCATCAGCCTTCAGAGTGAAGCGAGGGACGCCAGCGCTGCTCAACCCCACGTTTCAGAAATCAGCGGAGGACGCCAGCCTTCTGTACGAGGTGCGGCCCACGCTGTTGTGCAATATGCCGTGATATTTACTAAGAAAACTCACATAATATCTCAACTCATTCTCAAAGACACGAATGAGATTAAATGGAGATTCTAAGGCACATTAAACAGCATTTGTAACACATTTACTTCTGTAGTATGCCGTGATTTCAGAGCGAAACCGAATATTATATTCAATAAGGATTTGATGTTTCTGTGAGACTTTGTACATTAACCATGTCTCGCATGCCTCTTCTAGAGATCAGGGTTATTACAGTTGACTAAAACTGAAACCAAAACCATTCAAAAAATTGTTACTTGAAGTAAAATAAACGTTAACTGAATAAAATTAAATATTAGAAAACTTTTGATTTCAGCTGGTTATAGTTAAGTAAAGCAAAACAAAAAATACATAAATAAATTAATTAATTAAATACAAATATTTGTTCCTTGAAAAATTTTTAAAAAACTGAAATTGATTTTATTTCAGCTAGTTTCCAATGTAAGATGATTTTCATTTAGTTTAACTGATGTACTAAAACAATAAAAATTGATAGACACACAAAAAAATTACTAAAAGCTTAACTAAAATGAACATGAATGCAGAAAATAAAAATTATAATTATGAAAATATCACTGATGCCAAAGAAACATTTTTTCATTTTAATTTAGTCTAATCTGATGTACTAAAATAACTAAAACTAAAATAAAAATTAATGAAATTAATTAATGAACTACATAGACCAAATATATATATGTGTGTGTGTCTGTGTGTGTGTGTGTGTGTGTGAGTGTGTGTGTGTGTGTGAGTGTGTGTGTGTGTGTGTGTGTGTGTGTGTGTGTGTGTGTGTGTGTGTGAGTGTGAGAGTGTGAGAGTGTCTGTGTGTCTGTGTGTGTGTGTGTGTGTCTGTCTGTGTGTAAAAATATATAAATGTGGCAAAAACTGTAATAATAAAAAATGATTCAAAATATGAATAAAAACTGTAATAGTATCTCGATAATACTAGAGATCTCAACAATGTCTCAAACTATATTCAAACTATTCTCAAACTATCAAGAGCTTTTAATATGAGTCTTATCAGTTCCTATCAAGCTCAGAACAGCTCTGTATTGACTCGCTCGTGTCTGTTTTTATTTCTCAAGGAATTGTGGGAGAAACTGAAGTTTGCTGAGCACTAAAGCTTTCATCTGTGTTGTTCGTCTGCAGTGTTTAATGTGCTAAACAGCATCTCTGGTTGAATGAAGGGAGTGATCAATAGCTCAGCTCTTATTAGCTCTTCATACACTTGACTTTATTTGGTTATTGAGTTGTGCTGAGCTCTGCAATCTCCTGAGCTGTCAGAGCCATCAGCCGCTCCATACTGAGAGATACATGAGATCTCCGTGTTAATATTCCAGCGGTGTCGTGCTGAATGAGTCTGCATGATATCAGACACAAACTAAACTCATCACTCGCTAAACACAGATTGAACAAGACATCAGACTGAACTTTCATCAGATATCAGACATGAGGCTCTGCAGAATCATTCATAATCTGCTGCTTTATTGAGCACTCGATCTGCTGAATGTCACTGAATCAATCAGGAGTTCATTTGTATTCTGGTGCTTCTTTTAAAAGATGCTTAATATTCAGTGATATTATCAGTTTGACTGTTTGACTTTAGCACAAAAACATTATTTATACATCATTCATATTTAGTTTTCTTTTTCAAATGTAACATTTTTTAAATGTTACTGCTTGTTTCAGAATGTTCAGAACATTCAAAAGTAATGTTTCCGTAATGTTTGCAAAATGCTCAAATGGAACGTTCCATTAACGTTCACGTAACCAAGAATAAACGTTTTCAAAACATCTAAAAACTGGTCATTTTAAACATTCAGAAATAACTTAATTATTTGGAACGATAGCGAAACATTCTTAGAACATATTTTTGTTTACTGGGTGACGCTTGTTTTCTGCAGAGCTGCTTTATTGTGCAATTACGTTTCTTTCATAACTGATGAACTGAACTGAATCACGGTTGAACTAAATTGAGCTGAAGATTGACATTATTGTCTTTTGTAGAGCTGCTTTACATCTGAAATGGAATTTGATTCGTAACTGTTGAATTTTGCGATTATAATAGGCTACTGTTATTTTCCCAGGTTATGAAAATGTTATTTCTGAATGTTCAAAAAAGGTCCAGTTTTATAAACTTTTTAAAAATGTTTTTCTCGCTTATGTGAACTTTAAGAGAACATTCCACTTTAGAATTTTGCAAACATTATGGAAACGTTACTTTTGAATGTTCTGAAACAAGTAGTAACATTTAAAAAAACGTTAGACAAACATCCAACCT